ACTAGTATAAAACATATATCTATATTTCATGCACCTTGTGTTATCAAAATAACTTAAGAGAACATGATATATATATATGTATATATATATATATATATATATATAGAGAGAGAGAGAGAGAGAGAGATTTATATATCACATAATTATACTTATGATTAAGTATACTTACATATATTATCTAAATATATAATCATAATTATGTAACTATATAAGCATATTTTATATATCATATATATATATATATACTATTGTGACCTTATATACAGACTAGATAGGTTATTATAAGTGCATAAATGTATATAAGTATATTAATTATATATCATTGATGCTGAAAGCTAGAGGAGACATTTCATCCTAGCTATGTAATGGAGTCTTTCAGCCCCATCTCTACCTCATCTTCTAGACCTCCCCTCACCTTGCCTGATTTAACTTTGAAATCAGTCTGTAGCTGAGCCTGGTAAATATATTTATTTGTCAGTAAGTATAAGCTATTGTTAACTCTTGGGAAGAAAGGAATTCTGTATCCCATTTCCAGGAACTCCGACCATCTTGGCTACATGGCCTTCCCCTTTTCTAACCCTGTGCACACAGAGGCCACTGGCAAACACATGACTTATTGCTAGCTCTGCCTCTGGCCGGGCCGGTGCAGAACTTCCTGCTAGATGATCCAACCTCCCACTCCACCCGTTACGGATTCTTCCAAGGGGGCTGCTCCATGTGGGAGGCAGCTGGGCCAGCTTTGCAAGTTAAGGGGGGGAAACTAGACAGGCAAAAGAGAAAATGGGGAAGAGACAGAAGACCTTGGTGGGCCCCGGGAAGTGAATTTTTGCTCTGGTCTGTTTCCCCGTGAGGCCGACAATGATGATATTGTCAATGCCAACCCCATTTTGTCCTGATACAAGCCACAGCTCTTTGTCCTTAGATATGGAAGCAAAGAAGCAAAGGAAACTTAAGCCCTTCCTAGAGAATTTCACATAATTATACTTATGATTAAGTATACTTACATATATTATCTAAATATATAATCATGGAGAAACTAAGATGGCGGCAGAGATAAACACCGGGAAATTAAGGCCGCTCACAACAATTGATTAATACCTCAGAGAAACAATACGGACTTCATCCAGAACCATAGGAAGCCTGGCTGACTGTAAACTCTACAACTAGAAGGAAGGAAAGGCACACTGAGACCCGCAGAAGCTGCAGGATCTGGTCTGTTTCCCCGTGAGGCCGACAATGATGATATTGTCAATGCCAACCCCATTTTGTCCTGATACAAGCCACAGCTCTTTGTCCTTAGATATGGAAGCAAAGAAGCAAAGGAAACTTAAGCCCTTCCTAGAGAATTCAGAGTGTTTTAGTAGCAGTCAGAGTTTGCATGGCACATACCCTGTACATAGTTCCCTTTTACTTGGTCCCATTAAGGCCAACCCCAAGGCAGGTGCATCAGCAGGGAGACAACACATCTGACAGCCGAAACCAAAATGGCAGAATAAAAAGAGAAAATGCCAAATCCTATCTCTTGGCTCCTGTCTGAGGAAAAGCATCTTAGCTCTTTCTTCCAGGGGCCTGAGTCCTGGTGTTTTGATTCTGTCAGGGTGCTGAAGCCTTCCCATGAACAATGGAGCCCCTCAGCAGGTCTTTCTGAAATGACCCTTTACTCACACTTGGCATCCTGTAGCCCTTCCTTAGAATGAAATCCTTAAAGGCAGCTGGTCCATGAAGTTTTGCAAACTCCTCCTCCTAAAAAAAAGTTCACATTTTAAATTAACAACCAGCAGTCAGGAGCTTGATTTCATATTTGTCCTAATTAGAAGCATTGGACTCTTTATAAAATACCTCAGGTGTGTAGGTTACATTCACAAGTTAAAGAATACAAAGGCTTTCAAAAGATGTACAACTTTCTCTCCTTTCCCTTCCCCTTTTCTAACCCTTATATTAAGGATAACTCATACATTTTAGCAATTAGACAATTATTGACCTAAAATGTCTGGAATCTAACCAACTTAAGAATAACAATTGTGATACTATGGTTTACATTATTCACAAAGATATATGTAGCCCTATGTTCAATGCAGCATTATTCACAGTGGCCAAGACATGGAAACAACCAATAAATGATTGGATAAGGAGGATGTGGTACATATACAATGGGATACTACTCAGCCATAGAAAAGATGAAATACTGCCATTTGGGACAACATGGATATATCTTCAGTATATCATGCTAAATGAAATAAGCCAGAAAGAAAAAGTCATGAACCATATGATTTCACTCCTATGTGGAATATAAAACTGAAAACAACAAGTGAATAAACATGAGAAAACAAAAATTCATAGAACAGACAACAGGGGTCAAATATATGGTGATGGAAGGAGACTTGACTCTGGGTAGTAAACACAATGCAATAAAAGATTATGTATTATAGAATTATATTTTGAAACCTATAAAATTTTATTAACTAATGTCACCCCAATACATTTAACTTAAATATATATTTGCTTTTCTTCCTATAACTGGCAGAAAGCCCCCCAAATCCCTTGGATTTCCCAAGTGATAAGAGCCACAAAGGTGAAAGGAGAGCCTTTTGTTATTCATAACAAACCCCTTTCAATACAGGGGAGTTTATATTCCTGAGGTGACTTTTGGTGAGCCCATAGGTAGTCCCATGAAGGGGGCTGGTTGCCATGTGAAGAGAGGGTTGACACGTTCAGCTCCACCTCCCAATGGCCAACCATCAATCATGCCTGTGAAATGAAACCCCAATAAAACCCCAGAAGGAATGAGGTTGAGAGAGGTTCCAGGTTGGTAACCATGTGGAGGTTCTGGGAGTGTGGCACACCTAGAAAGGCCATAGAAGCTCCATGCCCACCCCTTCCTGCATCCCTATGTATCTCTTCCATGTGGCTGCTCCTGAGTATGCCCTTTTATAATAAAACTAGAGGCCCAGTGCAAAAAAATTTGTGCACTCGGGGGAGGAGGGAGGGGTCCCTCAGCCCGGCCTGTGCCCTCTCGCAGTCTG